AAAAAAAGGGTCTAGGCCCGAAACGTCAGCCTTTCTGCTCCTATGATCCTGCTTGGCCTGCTGTGTTCATCCAGCTCTACACCTTGTTGTCAAGGTGAATGTTCCTTGTTCATAATGTAGCAATTTAAGATGCTGCATTAATTTATATAAATTGCACATAAAGTCATATAAGCTTTCTCAGTCTCCTGAAACTGATATAATCTGGGCAAAATTAATGAGAAAGATTTGACAGTGAAAATTAAATGAAAATGAGACAGTTGAAGATCTAATGATAATTCAGTTATTTTACATAAAGCGCACTAATAACTCTGAATTCAATTTCTATTTTTCCCCAGAGATGCCTTAAACAAAATGAAAGATGTTTATGAACGAAATCCCCAGATGGGTGATTCTGGTAGCTTGCACCCAAAGATTTCAGAGACCATATGCAACATTGACAAACTACGTAATGAGGTTCAAAAGCATGAGGTAAATTAGAAAATAATATATTTGTTGTATAAAAGGTATCAGAGTTGCACGTTGCTCATGTAATCTAAGTACTGGGTATGCTGCAAGTTGTCTGACTCATCTAACTTTGTTGGTTTGTATCTGAGTACTAACATGTCAAGTTAGCTGAAAGATATTCCATGTTATAGGATAAAGACATTAAATCAAAGGTGATTTGGTGGTGGTTTATTTAAAAAAGACATCAAGTTACAGATTTGATTTCTGGTCAGACCTGACCTGAATTAGTATTTGGAGAGCTTCTTTTAACTTAAGTGACTCTAGACTAAGAAAAAATACCCGAAAAGATGCCTGCTGATGGATACTATCCAATGACAGATGTAACTTCTGAGTGAGGGCAGAATTGGACACAATGAAGCTTGGTCAATGTAATCTCAAACATTCACCATCCTTGCTCATTGGTCATTGATTTGTACTGTTAGCATTACAGAAAAAAGAATCATACAAGTGTAAGTACATTTCGGAGAAATGGGCTATTGGTGAGCTTTGAAGATATGAATCCAACTTAATTGGTTTCACCCAAAAGAATTTTTGCTAGCCTTTCTACTTCAAGTGGACGATCCTGGTATGTCTAAGTTGTACCATGACACTATAGACCTTGATAAACTAGATGTTTCTTTTCGGGTTTCTTTTCAGTTATGAAACTGACTTGTGAAACTGCATTATGAGCTGATAGGAATGGAATTTGTCTCTGAATCTTTTGTCACAACAAATAGCTTTAGACTATTGAGAACTTTTACAGTTGAACTTTAAGTACATTTGGTGGAGGAGAAGAACAGGGGCAAATAATTGAGGTACCAGCCTGGAAGGTGTTATGTGATGCTGCATGCTAAAGTACTATTAGTTAACTGAAACTGTGTACTGTTGTGGTGTTTTGTGTTATATTACTGGTTAATTATTTTTGTTATGACCACTATGGACAGTGTTAAATTAAACTCTAGTGAACAGACAGCACAATTATTTGATTTGACTGTAACACTGATAATACATCAATCTCTCTAAGATTTGGCTCTTTGAGGTGGAAAACAGAACATGTCCAAGAGGAGATAGACGATTAAGTGGTGGCACTGCATTCGAACGACCTGCTGAAATTAACCATCATGGAACACCTGGCAGGGAAAGGTATACATAAAACCACTGTAGTCATTAAGTTGTAATTGGCTTCAATCAAATGGTTTATAAAATAAATTGGCACGGAATTTAATTTAAAGTTAAAACTTACATGGTTTAATTAATGGAATTTTTTAATTTTGAAATTTCTACTTTTACACATTCTGAGAATGAGTCATCCAGTCAGTTGAAAGAAGAAGTCTAAAGCTGTAAATTGATTCCTGCTTTTAATATGTGTTCAAATCAACAGACTAGAAATTTAAAGCTGCATCATAGAATAGCAAAGCATTGAAGAACAGCAGATTTAAAACCTGTAACACAAAGGTTAATATTAGATACTCTGCAACTTTCAAGCTGTAAAGCAAGAATATTAAAAGAATCTGCCATGGATGGGTGGATATTAAAACCTGTCATCTTGCTGCAGTTCACATAATATCAATTAGATTTTAGGAATCTGTTCCCAGGCTAACATTGCTGGCATACTGCTCCTAAACAGTGTTGGAATAGTTGCTAAAGAATGTAGACGTGATTAAAACAGTGTTGGAATAGTTGCTAAAGAATGTAAACGTGATTAAAAGAGTAATACCTGGCACGTAGGAAGATGGTTGTGCTTGTTGGAAGTCATTCAAGTTCTTCAGAATAGTGTCATAGGCCCAACCATCTTCAGCTGCTTCACCGATTACATTCCCTCCATCATAAGGTCAAAAGTGGGGGATGTTCACCGATGATTACACAACGTTCAGTATTATTCACAACTCCACATACTGAAGCATTCTGTTTTCAAATGCAACAAGATCTGGACAATATCCAGGCTTGGGCTGACAAGTGGCAAGTAACATTTGCAACATGCAAATGCCAGACAATGACCATCTCCAATGAGACAATCTAACCAATGCATTCAGTGGTGCTACCATCACTGAGTACCCCATTATCAACATCCTGGGGTTACTGTTGACCAGAAACTAAACTGGTCTCGCCACATAAACATAGTGGCTACAAGAGCAGGTCAGAGGCTAGGAGTATTTCAGCAAGTAGCTCATCATTTTACTCCCTAAAGCCTGTCCACCATTTAGAAGATACAAGTCAGGAGAATGGTGGAATACTGCACACATTCCTGGATGGGTGCAGCTCTAATAACACTCAAGAAGCCAGGACAAAGCAGCCTGCTTGATTGGCATCACATCCCCCAGCACCCACTCCTTCCACTTCCGACACTCAGTAGCAGCAGTGTCTACAAGATGTACTGCAGAAATTCACCAAAGATCCTTAGATGGCATCACATAAACTCATGACCACTTCTATCTAGAAAGACAAGGGCAACATATACCTCCACCACCTGCAAGTTACCCTCCAAGCCACTCGCCATCCTGACTGGAAATATATCACAGTTCCTTCGCTGTCACTGGATCAAAATCCTGGAATTCCATCCCTAAGGGCATTGTGGATGCAGCGGTTCCTAACACCTTCTCATCAAGGGCAGCTAGAGATGGGCAATAAATGCTGGCCAGCCAGTGATGCCCATGTCTCAGAAGTGACTTTAAAAAAAAAGACATTTTGGAGAGTATACTATGAAGCATCAAAACATTTATTATTAATTGGCTGCTAATTTGTTTGCTCTTGTAGCTGCTAACATCTGACTCCCTTGATGTGTTGTGGCTATAGTAATGTCAAACCTGCATGATGTCCCTTATTTAAGAAATAGCAGCATTGGATAATATCCAACCTTTCTGAAAAATGTGGTCTGCATGACATAAAAAATCCATAATAATGTGGAGCCAAAAACACAATTGGTTGAATCATACTGACCAGGAAAGCCCTAGGTTTGATCCCCAAGAGTAGGAGTTGAATTCTTGCTGGAGCAAATGTTCGTTTCTTGTATGAAGTGTAGTCAAGTGATCAAAGTATCAGTGATCATTGGCACAAGAAGCACAGTGCCAATTGCTGCATTTTTTTTAAGGTACTGGGTGAAAATTGTGAAGTCAATCCAAGCAGTGCTTTCCCTCTCAAAAAGCTTTAGAAAAATAAAATATAGTTTGAAGAAGTAATTTGCTGCTGGTTTTTTTTTAAAATTCCAGCGGTGGTTTAAAGGTAAGTGTCCTTATACGAATAACTTGTTGACCTTTATGGTTCTGTTTGAACTGCGTTTAACTCTAGACATCTACGAGTTTTAATATTTCAAGTAAATCTCTTATTTAATAATTTATTTTTGATTTCACTACAATCAGCCCTGAGGGGAGCTATACGGATGATCCAAATCAAGAGCTGAGAGGGAACCAGAGATATCCAGACCCTCATCGTGCATCTGAATTTGATGATGAATTTGAAGATGATGAACCTCTCCCTGCTGTTGGTCACTGCAAAGCTCTGTACCCATTTGATGGTAAGATTTTTAATTTAGTCTAATTCTTTTTTGAAACACTCGATTTTAAATAAGATTTTTATGTTTATTTATTATTTAGCTTTCATCTAAATTTCCTACATCAATCCAAGACTAGAAGCATTTCAAAAGCGTTCTGAATTACTGTAAGAGGTGTTTAACTTTATTTTGAAGTGTAATATATTTTACCATTAGTCATTATATGTTACATGAAGTAGTAATTTAAGGAACAAACTAGCTAATTATTTGTACATTCTAATTTACCTAAATTACTTTGTTCTGCTTCACTAATTTTGATGACAAAATAACTGGGACCTTAAAATATTCAGTTAATTGGCCCAACATATGTGTGTGTGGGAGAGGGTGAAAGGGGAGTTAAAGTCAAAATGTTAAAGGGTAAAGTGAAATGTAATGTGGTATCTAATTTAATGATTTGGAAAATGAGCATGATATTAAGCAGTCTACACAATTGTAAAAACCCAGTACAATACCATTGAAGAGTGAGCAACTGAATTTATAGGAAGAAAGAATAAGCCACTTGTTGTTTTGGAAAACAACCTGGATAGGATAGAACAGCAAAATGTGGTACAAATTCACAAATTACAAGAAAATAGCAATTTCGGTTAACAGTCTTTAAATTAAACCAAGCACTTGGTGTCATTTCTAGAGTAATAGAATTGTTTAGAAACTTCTTTAGATGACACTTATCACTGTGCACAGCTCAGTCTCTATATTATGAAAAGGATATAGCAGCATTGTAGAAGTTCTCCTGTAGAATAAGTTATTCTGATAATTCGAAAGTTGCAAGTCAAAAGAAATGCAAAAACACCAATCATTAGAAGGTTTTTAGCAACATGTCTCTCTTTAATATTAAAAAATATCACCATTTCTTCATGGACATGAGGTAGAGGTGAATTTAATCATTATGTTCTCATCTTCTATCTGTAACAGAAGATAATTTTTCATTTTTGCTTTTTTTTTTTGCTTATTAAAAGTAGGTGGTGTGTTTCCTCAAACCCTTTGATTGTGAAATGATCCATAACAAACTTTCATTTGGATTAAAACAAACTGGATTGTTCATTCAAGCATTCAACCCAGGAGATAATTTCATAACGTGCACACTTGCAATCATACAAGGAAGAAAGAAGCAAAAGGGGAGAAGAAATTACATTTACGAATTGCTCAGATGAAAACAATATTGGCATTAATTTTATGTGAAATTAGTGTTCAGTGCACTCCATGTCCAGTGGAGTTTCTTTCAACTGGCTGTACACAGTAGTCCCTTTTGCAGAGGCTCAGATGCAGTTGAATTGCAGTTGAAGGTGCAGCAATATGATTCTTGCAGGTTTAGAATTTAACTTTGCGGGCAAAATATCAGATTCTATCTGGAAATCAGACTGTTGAGAGAGCAAGACTAGAGACCAACTTAGTTATGCCTGGGGTTGTTTTTGTTGTTAATTGTCTTGGTATTACAAGCAGACTAAGATGTCAAAATCTGTACAACTAAAGGCAGTTCACACAGACCAACAGTTTCAGTCATGATGGGAACTTCCAGCTCACCTACATAGTTTGCAAAATCTGCTTTGATGTTCTGGTCAAACCATTTTGTGTGAACCTACTAGAAGATATCATGTATAATGTGTTTCAGTGGTTTTCTTTGTTCAGTACTGGCTGGGGTAGTCATGTTCTGTACTATTCCTTTAAGTTGGCTTGGTTGGAATGTCCAAAATATGGAAAGTTCAACATTCTGAAGAAATGATATTAGCTTTCATCTGTGGTAATTGCTGGAAACCTCCAGAAGCAGCCAACTTGCCCATTCTGTGTTCGTTGGCAGCCAACTCTATAAGGCTGTTTAATGTATTTCTTTTTAAAATGACTGTATAGGTATACTTAAAAGTTTTTGGTTTTAATCCATTTGCGACAATTGTCATGGGATCAAAATCTAGGAACTCCCTTCCTCACAACCTGTGCACCTTGTACCACCTAGACTACAGCAGCTCAAGAAGATGGGATGCCTCCACCATCTCATGGGTGATTATGGATGGACAGCAAATGCTGCCCTTATCAGTGACACCCACAGCCCATGAAAAAAATTCTAAAAGCTCTCCGAATTCTATAACAATACAGTTGCACAGCTTTAAAAAAGCTATCATACTAATATGGAATGTATTTTCACCCCAAAGATATTTTTCCCGTGCATTTTCTATGTTTGTTTCAGATTTCCAGCATCCATAGTATTTTGATTTTATTTGACTGCTGAAAGTTGCCTTTTATTATTGAAAAGAAAATCTGCTCTGGAGATGGATCCTCAACATGCCATCAAGACAATACAACTCTTAGAAAGAAAATAGTCATTTTTGCGAAAAATGTGTATCATGATAGAGTAGAGCAGGCTCGTGAACTGTACAGTATCACTAGATTACTAACTCTGCTAAAATTTGCAGTGTTGGGGAATCATTACATGAAGTACATAAGATGCACACTGTATTTGATTTCAGATATGGAATTGGTAGGTGGTTTTGCCATTTCAGGGACAAATTTGGAATTGATTAAATGTTTTATTGAGATCTGTCTCTTGATTAAACTTTAAAAGTATAAAGAATAGGTACTAAGTTATCCTGGAGCAGTGTTTTTAGAGTGAAACTATGCTATTTTCTGGATCTGTAGATTGTTAAGGTGCAAAGATAGCCTTTAGTAGAGTGATGTGCTCTTCCTGTCAGATGTGGGAAATTTGGGTGAGTTTCCACGTTACTGATGATTATGTCTGCAGTAAGTGTGCTTTGTTGCAAATCCTGTTGAATGCATGGATCGGTTGGAGCGGCAGTTAGAGGCAATGAGGAATTTACAGGAGCTAAGAGATATAGTGAATGGCAGTTGCAGGAAGGTAGAAAAACCGCAGAGACAGTCAGGTAGATAGGTTACCTCCAGGAAAGGTAGGAGGGATAGGCAGGCAATGCAGGAGTCTCCTGTGGCTATCCCCATCTCAAACAAGTATGCTGTTTTGTGAAATGTAGGGCGTGATGGACTGTTGGGGGAAGGTAGCACAGACAGCCAGGTTTTTGGTACAGAGGAAAAGAGAAGGACGAGGTCCTGAGGAGACAGTATAGGAAGTTAGGCAGGAGGGAGGGTAGTAATATCTGGACTACTCCTGGTGCCATGAGCTAGTGAGGGTAGAAATAGGAGGATAGAGCAGATGAATGCGTGGCTGAGGAGCTGATCCAGGGGAGAAGGATTCACATTTTTGGATCATTGAAATCTCTTCTGGGGTAGAAGTGACCTGTATGAGAAGGACAGATTGCACCTGAATTGGAAAGGACTAAATATAGTGGCGGGAAGATTTGCTACAGCTGCTCAGGAGGATTTAAACTAGTTGGGAAGTGGGGAGTGCTAGGGAGAAAAGAGATAAGTCAGAAATGGGTGCAGTTGGGCAAATGAGCTAGTCAAACAGTCAGCAGGTAGGAACAAAACAGAGAATGAGGTAGGACTGATAAATTCAACTGCACTTACTTCAATGCAAGAGGCTTAACAAGTAAGGCCGATGAACTCAGGGCATAGTTGGGAACATGGGACTGGGATATGATAGTGATTACAGAAACATGGCTTAGGGATGGGCAGGACTGGCAGCTTAATGTTCCAGGGTATAAATGCTATAGGAAGGATAGAAAGGGAGGCAAGAGAGGAGGGGGAGTGACATTTTTGATTAGGGATAACGTTACTGCTGTACTTGGGGAGAGTATTCCTGGGAGTACGTCCAGGGAAGTTATTTGGGTAGAACTGAGAAACAAGAAAGGGATGATCACCTTATTGAGATTGTACTTTAGACCCCTGATAGTTAGCAGGAAATTGAGCAGCAAATTTGTAAGGAGATCTCAGTAAGAATAATAGGATGGTTTTGGTAGGGGATTTAACTTTCCAAACAGACTGGACTGCCATAGGGTTAGGGGCTTGGATGGACAGGAATTTGTGTAACCAGCAAATTTTCTGATTCAGTATGCGGATGTACTGACGAGACAACGAGCAAAACGATCTGCTTTTGGGAAATAAGGCAGGGCAGGTGACTTGAGGTGTGAGTGGGGGAGCACATTGTGGTCAGTGATCATAACTCTATTGGTTTTAAAATCGTGATGGAAAAGGATAGACCGCATCTAAAAGTTAAAATTCTAAATTGGTGGAAGGCCCATTTTGATGGTTTTAGGCAAGAACTTTCAAAAGTTGACTGGGGGAAGATTTCCACAGGTAAAGGAATGGCTGGAAAATGGGAAGCCTTTAAAAATGAGATAACGAGAGTCCAGAGATGGTATGTTCCTGTTAGGTTGAAGGGCAAGGCTGATACATGTAGCGAGTGCTGGGTGACTGGAGAAATTGAGGTTTTGGTCAAGAAAAAGAAGGAAGTATATGTCAGATATTAACAGCATGGATCGAACAGAATAAAGGCAGTAGGAGTATACTTAGAGGGAAATCAGGAAGGCAAAAAGGGGACATGAGATAACTTTGGCAAATAGGGTTGAGGAGAATCCAAAGCGATTCTACAAATACATCAAGGACAAAAGGGTAACCAGGGAGAGAATAGGGTCCCTGAGGCAGCCTTTCTGGTCTTTATGTGTGGAACCACAGGAAATGGGTGAGATGCTAAACAAGTATTTTGCATCGGTGTTTACTGTGGAGAAGGATATGGAAGAGAACTTGGGGAAATAGATAGCGACATCTTGAAAAATGTCCACATTATAGAGGTGGAGGTGCTGGACGTCTTAAAATGCACAAAGGTTGGTAAATCCCTGGGACCTGATCAGGTGTACCCTGGAACTCTGTAGAAAGCGAGGAAAATGATTGCTGGGCCCCTTGCTGAGATATTTGTATCGTTGATAGCCACAGTTGAGGCGCGGGAAGACTCGGTTGGCTAACGTGGTGCTGCTACTTAAGAAAGGTGGTAAGGAAACGCCATGGAACTGTAGACCAGTGAGCCTGATGTCAGTGGTGGGCACGTTTTTGGAGGGAATCTGGGGGACAGAACTTACATGTATTTGGAAAGGCAAGGGCGGATTAGGGATAGTCAACATGGTTTTGTGTGTGGGAAATTGTATCTAACTAACTTGATTGAGTTATTTGAAGAAGTAACGAAGAGGATTAATGAAGGTAGGGCATTGGATGTGACCTGCATGGACTTCAGTAAGGCATTCAACAAGCCTCCGCATGGTAGACAAGTTAGCTAGCAAAGTTAGACCACGTGGAATATGGGGAGAACTTGCCATCTAGATACAGAACTGGCTTTAAAATAGGAGACAGGGTGCTGGTGGAGGGTTGCTTTTCAGACTGGAGGCTTGTGAACAGTGGTGTGCCACAAGGAACAGTGCTGGGTCCACTCCTTTTCATCATTTACATAAATGATTTTGATGTGAACACAGGTGGTATGGTTTGTACATTTGCAGATGACACCAAAATTGGAGGTGTAGTAGACAGCAAAGAAGATTACCTCAGAATAAAATGGGACCTTGATCAGATGGACCAATGGGCTGATGAGTGGCAGATGGAGTTTGATTTAGATAGACATAGCAAGAACTGCAGATGCTGGAGTCAGAGACAACACAGTGTGGAGCTGGGGGAACACAGCAGGCCAGGCAGCATCAGAGGAGCAGGAAAACTGACATTTCAGTCGGGAACCTTCCTCAGAAATGGGGAGGGGGAAGGGAGCTGGGAAATAAATAGAGAGAATGGGTGGGGTGGGGAAGGTAGGTGGGATGGTGATAGGTGAGTACAGGTAGGGAGTAGTGGGGTTTGGTCAGTGGGATGGGAGGGGTGAATAGGTGGGAGAGAAGATGGACAGGTTGTGTCAGGTCAAGGAGGCGGGAATGAGAGGGAGACTTGGACATCAGATGAGGCGGGGGATGGGGAGATTTTAAAACTGGTGAATTCCATGTTTAGGCCATCGGCTGTAGGCTCCCCAGGCGGAATATGAGGTGCTTCTCCTCCAGTTTGCGGGTGGTGTTATTGTGACGCTCTGGGAGACCCAGGATGGACATGTCACATGGGAGTGCTCCACCTGCCCCTACACCTCCCCCCTCACCTCCATTCAAGGCACAAAACAAACCTTTCATATCAGACGGGTTCACCTGTACATCCGACAACTTGGTCTACAGCATCTGCTGCTCCTGATGTGGCCTCCTCTACATCAGTGAGACCAAGCGTAGATTCGGAGACTGTTTTTTAGAGCATCTGCACTCTGTACACGACAAATGACAACACCTTCCGGTCGCCAACCATTTTAACTCCCCCTCCCATTCCCCGGGTAACATGTCCATACTGGGCCTCCTCCAGTGCCACAGTGACACTATCCACAAACTGGAGGAGCAACATCTCATATTCCACTTCAGGAACCTACAGCCCAATGGCCTAAACATGGAATTCAC